TTTGTTTACATTTGGATACGAATTGAGCAGATATGAACGTACGTGAAAAAATGATGGAGAATTGTAGTTTAAAAACAGTAAAATCGACCCGTCTAACCGAACGCTCCCCTGTGGTGAAATCGGTAAAAGCACGTTAGGTTATATGGCGGTAATGTATAGGATACAGGTTCGATTCCTGTCGGAGGATGCATATTTTCTGTGACAATTTCTCGGCCATTCGGCCCGTAAATGTTGTTAATACTCTTTATTATAAACCGAGCATTTACTTAAATATTTATATCTATAAAAAAGAATGTATAAACATAAAAATGTCTTTATATATATATATATATATATATATATATATATATATATATTATATTGCATCTAGGCATATGCTTTATGCTTCCGTTGATGATATTTCGGTCTCTCATGTGTTACGACGTCATAAAACCGCATCCTGAATTTACGATCTGCGTCTGTTATTCCGTGACCGTTATCGTCGCATAGCAATCTATGTCAGCATAACAGAATATAATCTTTGATGGTAAATATCTTTGTTTAAATATCCATACCACCACTCTGAAGAAGGCTCATGTGAGCTGAAAGCTTAGTTCAAGGGACAGCATTATAAAAGAATATAGAAATGTTGGAGAATTTTTGTGTGTGTGTGTGGCATTGGATCTGGCGTGCTTAACCGCTCAGCCACGTAGAAACTACGGCCAAAAAATGTCGTATCCTAACGTATACAAAGTCAATTTATTTTAGGAAATGTATTAAATCCAACATAATTATATTTTTCATATGTTTAAACGTTATTTTTTATGGATACTCATACTCGACTAGAAGCCCTGTTTTTAAAGAGTATTTTCATCCATATATATATATATATATATATATATATATATATATATATATATATATATATATACATATATACTGTGAAATAGCGGCTCTTGGGAAAGGTATGGATTGAGAAATAGCGGAGAGTCGAGTTCGAATTCCAGTCGAATCCATTACATTCACTTACGTGCTAATACCCTTGGGAAAGGTATGAATCCTCTTCTAGATCTTCCCGGAGGAGTATTGGATAGCGGCTCGGATTGAGGAATAGGAGAGCCGAGTTCGAATTCCAGTCGAATCCATTACATTCACTTACGTGCTAATACCCTTGGGAAAGGTAAGAATCCTCTACTTCTCTCAATACGACAGACAAGGTGTTTTTATTTAGTTTTTATTCATCAAAATTAAATCAAAATTCGTAAATAATTATATAGGCCACACTACAACATGTCTGACACGCAAACTCACTCTACACCTTTCTGACCATAGCTCAATTAGATCTCATTTAAATATTCATGGAGACCGACTGGACACTATTCGTTACATATTTGTTGACAACACAATTATAATATCATCATCTACATGGAAATAAAAAGGCTAAAACTAATAGAAGCCTTATTAATAAAAACAAAAAGCAACATTTAATAATATTAACTTTGAACATGGAAACAATATATTCACTGAGTTTTGGAAAAATGAAAAAAAATTATAAAACGTACATACAAAAAACTATTTCTTATTTAACAGTTAAAATATTTCATCATTGAAAATGGCTAAATGTATAGCCGAAAGCGCTCGGATAAAAAGAACATTCGGACAGTTTTTATATAATTTATCATCCGAAAAGAAAAAAAATATTATTAGATCGCATGAGAAATCGTATAAAAAACTACATAAAAGCACCCTGTCGTATTCAATGACACGTGCATATATATATATATATATATATATATATATATATATATATACACAAAGTTGTACTTAAACATGAAAACAATAAACAAAACCTAAAAATTTTGAAGAAGGTATATACATAAAACAGTTGAAACCTTACCTGAACAAAATAAACTATGAAATCTCCACAAATATTCTTAAATGCCTATAATTGATAACATAAGCCATTGGTTTAGACCAACGGCTTCACATACTTAATACTTCTCGTTTTTAATTCTCGTGTGGTCCTTTGTGACGTCACGACCTGCGACGCAATTTTCGCTTCCGCGTCTCGTATATTATTGTTCCGTGTATTGGTTGATATATTGAAAAGTAATTGTCATCTTTGATAATGGCTTATGTAAGCCGAAAGCTTAAATTGGATTTAAACATGTATCAATATGGTGATTTCCTTTCGTATTTCAATGATAATGTTATTAAACTTATCAGACAATATAAAAGGAACTTACTTAAAATGGACAAAACTTGTCTATATTATTTAATAAAACACGCATCAATGAAAAATTGCTCTCTAAATATACACAATATATATATAAGTATGTATGTGTGTGTGTGTGTGCGTGTGTGTGTGTGTTTTGTGTGTGTTGTGTGTGTGTGTAAAAAACATATAGAAAATGGGAAAGAACTCGTTAGGTAAATAATCCAAATTTCTTTAGTATTTTTGTTATTATTTTAAAAAAAAAACAGTGCTCGATGCAAAGTAGAGCCTAAATATAATTTTTATTTAAAAATATGATTCCATCGCTATATAAGTGTTCTCATGTTTCCGGTTCTTGTTTTGAAGCATGAGAACTCTTATGTAGCGATGGAATCATATTTTTAAATAAATAATTATATATGTATATATATATATAGAGAGAGAGAGACAGAGACAGAGACAGAGACAGATAGATAGATAGATAGATAGATAGATAGATAGATAAGCTTGAAGAATAAAACAGGTTGACTCCGTTTGGTGTGAACTTCAATGTCCACATTTATATTTGCATACGCTGTACCCCTAATATTGAGCGCTTGTGCTCTTTTGTATAGCATAACTTGAAACCATATTTTTATCATACATACATATTTATATATATCGCATTAATATATTGCGATTGTATGTTTGCAGTCATGAGTTCCTTGACAGAATTTGGCAAATGTAAGCTTTCTATGAATTATTTGTAAGGTGCGATCTAATAAAATAGGACGTGATATCAAGGGAAGTAATAAGGTGGCATGAGAGGAAGTAAAGAATTGGCGGGAAATACTGAAAGGAAAGGGCGGGAATTGAGCAGTGAATAAGAAAAGGTAATCAATGATGAAATTACACCTGGGAGAGCGAAAACAATGGAAGGAAGAGGAAATAGAACCACTGAAGGAAGCGAGAGAGGGAGAGAGATTAAAGATGAAGAAGTCTGAATAGAAAAAATAGGAAAGAAAAGATAAAGCAGAAGACGAAAATTATCTAGGAGAGTGTCCGTCTTCATCTACAGGGAACAAAAACAACTGACATCAATTGTAGAGTCTACATTAAGGGTCTTTTTTTTTTTTTTTTTAAATTGCTTAAGATAGATCGGTGATCGTATGATTATAGGTGTTCAAGATAGATGGATATGAACAGAATGTGATGGATAAATATGAACAGATTGTGATTGATAGTTGCATACGAACAGACAGTGATTGATAGATATGAACAGACTGTGATAGATAGATAGATAGATAGATAGATAGATAGATAGATACATAGATAGATAGATAGATAGATAGATATGAACAGACAGTGAGAGATAAATGTGAAAAGACCGTGATTGATAGATGTATATGAACAGTAATTGATAGATAATGAAAAATTGTGATAGATAGATTGATTGACAGACAGACAGATAGATAGATAGATTGATAGATAGATAGATAGATATACGAACAAACTGATAGATAGATAGATAGATAGATAGATAGATAGATAGATAGATAGATAGATAGATAGATAGATAGATAGATATGAACAAACTGTGATTGATATATGAATATGAACAGACAGCGATTAACATATGGATATGTAGGAACTAGAATAGATAGAAAGATAGATAGATAGATAGATCGATAGATAGATACATAGATAGATATGAACAGACTGAGAAATAAATGTGAACAGATTGTGATTGATAGATATATATGAATAGTAATTGATAGATAATGAAAATCAATACGAACAGATACGAACAGACTGAGATAGATAGATAGATAGATAGATAGAATAGACTGAGATAGATAGATAGATAGATAGATAGATAGATAGATAGATAGATAGATAGATACGAACAGACTGAGATAGATAGATAGATACGAACAGACTGAGATAGATAGATAGATAGATAGATAGATAGATAGATAGATAGATAGATAGATAGATAAAAAGGTTGATAGATAGATAGATACGAACAGACTGAGATAGATAGATAGATAGATACGAACAGACTGAGATAGATAGATAGATACGAACAGACTGAGATAGATAGATAGATAGATAGATAGATAGATAGATAGATAGATAGATAGATAGATAAAAAGGTTGATAGATAGATAGATACGAACAGACTGAGATAGATAGATAGATAGATAGATAGATAGATACGAACAGACTGAGATAGATAGATAGATAGATAGATAGGTACGAACAGACTGAGATAGATATATAGATAGATAGATAGATAGATAGATACGAACAGACTGAGATAGATAGATAGATAGATAGATACGAACAGACTGAGATAGATAGATAGATAGATAGATAGATAGATAGATAGATAAAAAGGTTGATAGATAGATAGATAGATATGAACAAACTGTGATTGATATATGAATATGAACAGACAGCGATTAACATATTGTTATGTAAGAACTATAATAGATAGATAGATAAGAGCAGACTGAGATAGATAGATAGATAGATAGATAGATAGATAGATAGATAGATAAGAGCAAACTGAGATAGATAGATAGATAGATAGATAGATAGATAGATAGATAGATAGATAGATAGATCAGACATTTAGATTGTGGCATAGATAGATGAGAAGATATATATAGAGAAAGAGAGATGAAGAGTGAGAGTAAGAGAGATATGAACATATTTAGATCGATATATATATATATATATATATATATATATATATATATATATAGATTAGAATAGATTTAGATATAGAGTGGGAGTGAGGGAAGGAGAAATGAGAAGATATTTAGATAGATAAATCATTTACATAGATAGATAAATAGATAGATAGATAGATAGATAGATAGATAGATAGATAGATAGATAGATAGATATGAACGTACTGAGATAGACAGATATAATGATATATATGAATAGAGTGAGATATGTATTGACTTAACAATAGATAGATAGATAGATAGATAGTTTAGAAGGTAATTAGATAGATATTGAGATAGATTAGAAGATATTTATATATATATATATAGAGAGAGAGAGGGAGGGAGAAAAAGGAGAAGATATTTAGATATATAAGCAGGTATTTAGATAGACACTTAGAGAAAATCATTAAGACCCATGTTTAAACAACGGGTAAAATGCATCCCTAGAGGAACATATGACCCCCACCCACGCCACCAAAAAAAACAAAAAAACAAACAGGATATTTATTAACGAACGTATCTACGGAATGCGTTTCATGGAACACAATTTTTGCATTCATGAAATGTAGGAATAAGAATTTGGCAAAAGAAAATGCCAGACAGTAGTGACCTATTTGTGGATGCATCCAAAGTTTCGCGTGGCCACTGACTGAGAAACTGAAGCTAGTGACCTCGCTGTGGGAGACTTTGGCAGGTGAGCAGACCCAACCGGACTCATCTACAGCAAAACCGCCATCAATTTCGGTCAGAGGTCTTCGGATTTGTGCAGTTTTGGCGAATGAAGAAATGATATTAACTATTCCCTGAGAAATAAGGAAACGGTAAATTCTATGCGCAAATAACCTTCTGAGGTTATGTCTTTTAAGTGAATGAAAACTTAAATTATGTACAGAAACACTTTTATTATATACTCGCCTCGAAGCTTCAGTTCGAGCGGAATTTAAGCTAGCTCCTGCGGAGGGATTTTGGACCTCTGGCTTTTTACCTTCAACGTCCTATATACAAAAAGTTATAAGGATTTAGAAATATTCAAATTATTTTCTCTTTATTCGATATCTTACTTCGGCATTATTTTTCTTCTTATACGAACCGTATTTGTTTAAATTTATTTTCCACGCAATTTTTCTTTTGTTTTAAAATCGCTATTCTTTATGCTCTTTCCTCATAAAGTTACTCTTAAAAGACATTGGGGGACCCGAGCTAGGTAATATTTCGAATACGTCACAGTCCGCGTTCTAGAAAAAGAAAGAAAAGACATATGAGCAACGTACCATGCCCCGCTTATGTTTTAATTATGGTTTAATTAGACGATCGAAATTGCGAGGAAAAGCGAAATTAAAGTTAACCTTTAATAAAGAATTGCTTTTTTTTTAAACTTTTACTCTGTTCCATATTTAAATTTAATTTTAAATGTGATATTTATTTAATTTTTAATCGCGTGTAACTACAGTTGCAACTGCTCGTTGTAGCGTAGTTTAAGTGCATTAAATTATAGGAGGTGGGTAATAAGAGATGATGAAGTTTTTAACTGTTTGTTTTGACGTCCAAACTCGTTAACGTGTAGAATTTCAAATCTCCTCTCACCACCTCATTCACGCTCCGTTTTTATAGCGAAGACATTTCTTTACTAGTGGCAATCAGTTTTTCAATTTCAGTTATTTGGGTTTTGTGTTGATCCCATGACAATTCAGCTGAACTCGGTTTCCGCGGGTAACTTACACTCGAAACAGGTCTTGATTGACGCTGCAGTGTCTTTTAAGTTTGCAGGATTTGTTACTGATGACTGTTCAGTATTTCACCTGAGGTGAAAGGTATTTCATCATTGAATTTTACTGTCTGTCTTACTTAGGACAGATTTTGTGAAGCAGGTTTTTACAACAACTACTGGTGTAGTTTTTTGTGTTTTTACGGTACGCTTATTATTTTCATTATTACATTAGAGGCAGAGGAAAGAAGAGATGAAAAAGTTTTTAACTGTCTTAACGTCCATACTCGTTAACGTGTACAATTTAAAATCTGCCCACCTTATTCATTCTCCGTGTTTATAGTGAAAGCATTCCTTGACAAGGGAGATAACAGTAGATTACTACACATCCTCTATTTTTTCAATATGTATCTCTTTCAGGAGGTTGAACTTTGCGGGGATGTAACAGTAAGAGATAGATCAAGTATCGAGCATCATCAAGACTGAAAAATGAAATTGACAAAGATTATTGTTTAAGGTTGACGGACACGCATGTCTTAATTAGTTTTTTTGTTTTTGTTTTTGTTTTTACGAATTGGTCAAACTCAAACAAAAACATTGTTTTCAATCGTTATGAGTCTACCAATTGAATAGTATTTTATTATAAACAATTGTCTTGTAAATGGAATTTTTAAAGCATTCTGAATGTAAAAATAAAGAAAAAAGTGTGCAAGACAATAAGAAACAATACCTGCCAAAAAAAGTGAAGTTTTGTTGAAATCGGTTGGAAAATGTAGGAAACCCGATCCCATATATAAACGAACACACACACACATACGCACACACACACACAAACTGGGTTTTATAATAATTATAACTCGATATGAGTTGTCCCCCTTTCATTCTCGTGATGCGTCTTAATCGTGTTTTCAAATTGATTTCATGCAAAAACAATTGTGTTTTTCCAATTTTTTGGCGCTGTTAGAACCACTGCAAGGTAATTTTACGTAGTCCTGCGAAGTTTTGTTGAAATCGGTTGAAAAATGTGGCAAATCTGATCCAATATATAAACGTACAGACACACACACACACACACACACACACACACACACACACACACAGAATCTGCGTTTTATAATAAGTAAGATGACTGTTCAGTACTTCGCCTTAGATGAAAGATATTTCGTTGTTGAATTTCACTGTCTGTCTTACTTAGAACAGACCTTGGTGAAGCAGGATTTTACAACGGCCGGTGCTGAAGTTTTTGGTGTTTTTACGGGACGTATAATATTTTAATTTTTTCTAAACGCTGTAACTCTTCCAGAACTTTTTTCTTGGCAAGGGTCAAAGAGTTGCAATAGGCATTAGTTGCACAGACACATTTTAAACACATTTTATATAGATTATGGATTCTAGAAATGCCTGTAAAATGTTCAGGAAATTCTTTTCTATATTTATAGTCTTTACTTTTTATAGAATTTAACCTCTTCTGTAGGTTAAGAGCTTTTATTTCTGGTGCCCCCAGTAATGGTTACATCAAACTTTCAATAAGAAATTCTGTTTAGATTTTGCTTTTGGAGTTTCTACTAAAGCTTCCACAAGACCGATATTCTGGTGGGAACCTGGTCCATACAGGTATTTGTTAAATTTTTGAATAATCGGGGAGTTTTTTTTCTACGATAATTCCAAGGGACTACCGTTACATCTGTTCCACTATCCAATTTGAAATGAATTACTTTACTATTTAGCTTTGTAAAGGATGTTTCTTTAAGAAGGATGATATATAAGGGTGTTTCATTAAGACGGATCAAAGTCAGCAGTAAGCAAATCAGTGTTCCTGGTGAAAGTTTTCTCTTATTAGATCATGTTATTTAAGTCATGGCAATTATGCGTGAAAAATAATATCGCTCAAATGTTCGCCAAATCTGAAAGAAAAAGGAAAAAAAGTCATTAAACTCTTAAACTTCATTCACATTTAAAATCTGTTAAAGTTATTGGAACACCGATATTTAGTAATTTTAACTCCATTTTGTCAGGTTTCTTTCACGACAGCATTAATTCTATCGTTAGTAGTAATAGACCCAAGGGCGTAGTTTGGTACTACATTTTTTTGCATGTCTTTTTCTTGAACACTTTCGGCAAATTGCCTTTTTGTCTGTACAGTCGTTTTGAGTGTGAGATAAAATATTGCCACAGTGTATTCATTTGTACTGCTTTTATGGCGTCCTGTATCTTGAGGTTTCTTTTTATATTTCTTTGTTGTTTCTTTGCTAATGTTTGTTGTTTGGAAGTTCAAGACACTCTTCATATGTCTATACATTTGTCTAGGGTAAGCCTTTTATCCTTTAGAAAATTTATCCTGACTGTATCATCTTTAACTCCTACAATTATTTGCTCTCAAATTGGCCTGTCTTGCATTTCCTCAAAATTGCAGTCTTTTGCTGTCAGAGCGCAGAGACATATATATCTATACTCGCTGAAGCTTCTTGCTTTCGAATATGAAATTTATAAGATTCCTACGCTTCATGGGTTCCTCTAACAAATAAAAATCTTCGAAATTTGTTATTGCTACTTTCAAATTATCATTCTAGTCTTCATTCTCGAATTTCATCCCCTCTTAAATGTCGTATGTGTTTTCTAATTTTGACAAAAAGACAGATTTTTGGTACGTACTATCAGGTTCTTTGTTGATACGACTGGCTTTTGAATAATTTCGAAAATTTCGAATAAACCTTTTCCCAGTTAGTTGCAAATTCCCTGAAAAAAACATTTTTCCAAAAGATTTGGTCATTTGCCGTAAATTGTCTTTCGTTATCGTGTCCTTGTTCTGAATTCTCTGCAATGGAGAAATCCTCAGTTGGGTTAAATTTATATTTTAACAAAGATAATACATTTGTTCTTTCTTTTTCCTTTATAAACTATTCGTAGTTTAAAAGCAAAAAAAAAACAAAAAAATTTTTTTTTTTTTTTAGAAACAAATCTCTTTACGTGTAATTTCTTGTAATTTTAATATTGTCTTTCAGTTCACTTGTATATTCCAATTGCTTTTTTTCTTTCGTGGGAACGTTGTTTTTTTACTTTTCGACAACATGTGACGTAATTTAAGTGTATTAAATTGCAGGTGGAGGAGAAAGGAAAGAAGATTAAATTACAGCAAGGGGAAAGAACAGGATATTAAATTGCAAGAGGGGGAAAGAAGTCATGATTAAATAACAGTGGGGAAAGAAGACAAGATGAAGTCTTTAACTGTTTGTTTTGACGTTGAAACTCCTTAACGTTTAGAATTTAAAATATACCCCCTTTCATTCATTCTCTGTTCTTATAAAGAATGCAGATGACATTTCTTGAAAGGGAGGTAACCGTGGATTATTCCACACCTGTTACCGTAGATTGTTTATAATTCACCGCGATCGAAAACCGGACGGCCAGACGGACACACGTACACTGCGCTTTATTGTTATAGAAATATCAACAATAAAATAAATATACATACATATATATATATATATATATATATATATAGAAAGAGAGAGAGAGAGGGTTCGTGGCTGAGTGGTTAGGACGTTCGTATTCTCACGATGAGACCCAGGTCAGGAAGGAGACTTCCTGATGTTATCGCACTGTAGGGGCAGATACCAACTTGCGACATCTTTGGAAAGTGCCTTAAAGCCATACCACGGGTTGACCAAAACCTTGTGAGTAAAAATGGGTAGACGACACCCCTGGGTGACGTCTGTAGCTGTGGTAGCACGAAGTCACAACTCATTGTGGACGAGAACTTGAGCATGGGGGCTTTGTTCAAATTGTTGACCACGCTAGATAACACGCTTTTTCCCAGAAACTGTAAGTAAGGTCTGCTCAGTATAGGTGAGGGTTTTTCAACCTAGTGGCCTTCTTCCCGCCAGATGATGTGCTCTCACCCAGAAACTGTAACCGATGTCTGGTTTGTTGTTGAGTTGTTGGGAGTGTTCCCCGCATGTGTGTATTCGAATAAAGACAAACACAGTTGTAGGTATAAATACTGGTATATTTGTAAGAGGTAATTAACAACAGAGTGATTAGTAATAAGGAACGCCGGTTAGTAAGTAACAATAGCAAAAGTCTACAGTCCAACGGTATGTAATGGTAACCTGATCTCGACTGCTGTCGCTGAACCTGATCCTTCCCACAACACAACTACTCTCTCTAGCACTGACTTATATCTTAGAGGGATAAGTCCATTATCAGTCAGAAGGTGGAAGCGCCCCAACATTAGTATAGTTGAATCATAAACTATAGATGGGTTTATATGCGTCTGAGGTGGTTTCTGTGACAGGGATTAACTAGCCTCCCTGGTAGACATGTATATTACGATATGTGTAGGTAGCCATCTTCTTTCACTCCCAATAACAATTGCCTCATAATGTCTTTATCGCTTTCCTTTGGGTAAAATGAATAAAATTAATAAATAAATAAAGCAAGCCAACAAACATCATTTGATAGAGCTGCAGTAGATGAAATGAAGAGAAATAAAATTCAAGCTCTGATAAACTCGAGTCTGATAAATGAATTTTAAACTGGCGCTGCTGTCAGGCTTAGATAAAGCTGTTTGGAACACGTGTTGCAAAAGCCCCGAGAGTGGGTAAATGAATCCGAATATAAAAAATACACATACGCATTATACACCGAAAAAAAAAAAGATCCGATATGACTAAATATTCGTCCCAGAAAACTCTAGGGATACAAAAGGCACTTATTTCCTTTTTCTCTACGGGAAGTCATGCTGATCACGTGACGGTCGCTTAGTGACGTCACTTCAGAGAATGAGGAAAGTGGTAAGGTCCGATTTAACGAGTCAAAACGAACAGTTGTTTTTCTTTTTTTTTTCTTCTTCCTGTGGCAAAATCTTCGTTCCCCAGCAGCTTACGAGCTGGACATATATCTTCACCAGATTTAGAATCTTCGGTTCTTCTGCGAGGGCAGGAGTGTGTGGGGGATCCAAGACTTGTCGTTTCCTGTTTGCGGAAAATCACCTCTCGCGAAATAGCAGATAAATCGGGCCCGCCTGAAACTGGATTCGTAAATATAGCTTATCCAACAGCGCCATGCCCGGTGGGAATTTGTTGTAGCATACCTACGGACGATAATGGGTATGCCACCATTCAAATAACTACAGTAGTGAATACCCTACGTGGTCTGCTGTTGGAGATTCAGTGTGTAATTCACTTGACTCATTTCTAGCAGTTCACTACTTCTTCTACCCGACGCTGGCGAAACAATGTTGTTCTTGTCCTAAATATTATTCAGCGTTACTGAACGAGTAATAATTAAAACAGAGGTTGGAAATGAAATGGTAATCTTTATAACATCAACAAAATGCAATACTCGCCAGCAGCGTGAAGTAGGTAAACCACTGCTAGTGGTAGACTACTTATACAGCATATTACCCCGCTCCATTTGCAATAATGCCCAACGTGTTTATGAGGATTGAGACATACACATTAGTGTTCATAGGTACGGTATATAATGGATAGATATGAAGAAAAAGAAATAGATAGATAGATAGATAGAGAGAGAGAGAGAGAGAGAGAGAGAGAGAGAGAGAGTTGTAACTTAGCTAGAAAAGGTTACTGAATGAGGAATAACTAAAACGGAAGTTGGAAATGAAATGGTAATCTTTGACATCAACAAAATGCAATACTCGCCAGCGGCGCGTAGTAGGTAAACCACTGCTAGTGGTGGACTACTTAGACAGCATATTACGCTATTTATCTGCTTCCCCACGTGCTAGAATGCGACACAAGGCCAAATTTAATGTGGGGGAATACGAGCCCGTGGGCTCGGGCAAAAATTACCCGTAGACCCGGCATACGCAGGATCGGGTATCTGTCTACCTACCCGGATGAGATTTTGCCCATCGGCATAGCCTCGTCTGGGTACCTCTGTAACCCAAAGTCAGAGAGTTCGACACGGCAAGAGCTTCCAACGCTGCCAGCATAGACAGCATATTACCCCCACCCCCACCACCACTTACAATAGTGTTCAACGTATTTATTAGGATTGGGTCATGACCAGTAGCGTTCATAGGTACGGTAGATAACAAACACAAAAATGTGACGCCGAAACTCAAAGACGCATCCGGGGAGAACATAATGAAGAAAGAGAGCTTGGAAAATTTGATACTCACAGTACACTTTGGTTTAGTTTATTTTACGGCATATCAACCTCAATGGGTTATAAAATGCCGAAAGATTTTTATTGTCGGTAAATTTTTTTCGAAAATGTATTAATAGTAATATTTTTTTCCAAAAATATATTTCCGGTAATAATGTATTGTTGGTAATCATTTTTTCTTCAAAAATATATTATTTTTATTATTATTGCTATTGTTATTATCATTATTATTGTTTTTATTTCCTTTGATTTCTGGCGTTTATACATTTCTTTTCGGGTCCCGCCCAGGGACCTAAGGTTAGAAATGGCGCCATGACATTTTCCACTGACAAAAAAAAAAAATTACATAGATAAAGCCCTTCGTAAAGTGTGGGTACTTGTCAGAACAATTTTTTGTATCTCTTTGAGGCATGGACTTCCAGGAATCCCTTCAATTAGTCTACTGCAATCTTTTCCAACCAGTCCTAGGGCTCCAACTACAACAGGGATTGTTGATGTTCCCATATGCCACATTTTCGAGATTCTTCTTCTTCTTCTTCTATTTGTTAGACGTAGACCGTCACATGATCCTAGTGGTGTATTAGGTCATTACTCCACCTCACTGTCTACTGTTGGTAGAGGCCTGGGTACGATCTTGTCCTTCTTTGAGATTATTTAAGTTACGTTTAATTCTTCCTTTGTCGACATTATTCTTTCCAAGAGGCGCATAATCTCTTTGTGTCAAACATTTTGAGATTAAATTCTCTTCTCTTCAAACGACAGTCAACGGGAAATCATTCAACAATCTTCTTTTCTATGTCGATGCGAAATTTCCCGAGGAGACAGCTTATCTCTTCATGAAATAAATAAAAAAAAACACAGCATAAAATTAAAATGGGCTTTTGCGATCTGTTTTATTTGGAAGATTCATAGGGTACATTATTTTAATTTATCTAATTTTTTTTTAGTTACAATCAAAGATAAACTTTTTTTTCAGATGACATTATGAGACATGATATTATTTCTACAATTTCTTCATTAATATTAAGAAAATTATATAAACAAAAGACATATATAAGTATGTATTCGTCTGTTGTGAGGTGTTATCTGTACACACCTTAAAACTATATTTCTTCATACTTATATATATATATATATATATATGTGTGTGTGTGTGTGTGTGTGTGTAAGTGCGATTATAAAACAATTAATTAAATATAAGCAAAAGGTATATACGTTTATAATTATACTGCTTATCTAAACCCATATATATATATATATATATATATATATATATATATATATATATATATATATATATATATATATATATATATAAGTATTAATGTGAAAAAAAAATCAAAATAATTAGATACTAGCAACCGTATATAGGTGCGTTCGCGTGCATATACAGGTAAGCGAATAAATATTTACTCAATTTAATATAAGGTGTAAAAGAAAACTGTGCTGGATGTGGTTAGACAGAGCTAAGAAGTATATATATATATATATATATATATATATATATATATATATATATATATATATATATATATATATATATACCTACGTTCAAAGTGGAACTTAAAGATTCATTGTTCTAAAAAATCTCAGATAATTCCAATAAGATATCTTTAATCATTTCTAAGATACAACGGTTCAAATGTTAATCTAACAATTGAAGGATTTTGCAGTTCCCGATTTAGACAATTTTGCTGTTACTCCCGATATATATATATATATATATATATATATATATATATATATATATATATATATATATGCCACTGCATTATCACCTGCAATAAAGGCAACACGTTGAGATGTTGTTGAGATAAACTGCCTTTCCGACCAACCAGGACCAAATAGCAACCCATTGTCGTTTCAATAACTTACGACACTCTTTTATTCTTAAGCAGTCGAAAGCGGTCAAGATGCTACTCTGGCTTTACCAATTGATACCACCATTCATTGGATAAATGGCCTGTCCCATGCAGGATTCGCTTTTAACTTTGCTTGAGTTATCTTCCTGATTACAATCACCATCCGGATGTCGATGAAAGCGGGCTTAAAATGGAGAACCTGTTAGCATAAATAGACTAACATTTGTTAACAATAAAAGCGCCTTTCCAAGAGCCATTTCTCAAGAAAGGATCTTCCGCAGATGAACTTGAACAAGGATATACTCATGCTACGTGATAAGGGGAAGTTTAGATCAGTGTCTGGAACTGACGCTAAAATATTCCCCCAAGAGAGATTTTCGGAATTTACTTAGATTATTCCAGAACTGTTATATTCCTCGTATATATCTTGTGAATCTGTCTCATTCATATTATTTTCTATTCATATTAGCGTTGTACTTATAATCTTTCATATTTATTATTTTCGTACTTACTTTTCTAGCATTTATGTGTCATTGAGGATATTTATTTTTTCGTATTTATTTTGGTAATATTTTTTTCTAATTTTTCTCATTTTTTCTTGTGTTTATTTTCTTGTCATCATTATTTTCGTATTTAATATTCTTTTATTAATTTTTCTTAAAATTATTTTATTTTGGTTACTTTTCAGGCACTCATTTTAATTCTAAATTATTTTTCCTACACTCATATTCTTCTACACATTTTTCTTCTGTCCTCATTTTTGTGCCCATTTTTTTTTCTTTTCTATTTGTACTCATTTTTCTTGTACTAAATTTTCTGGTACTCATTTTATTTCTAAATTATTGTTATTCCTGTACTCATTTTCATGTACACTTTTTTCTTGTATTCTCAATTTTTTTTAATCATTATTTTTCTTTTTATTTATCTTGCATTCATTTTTCTTCTACTCATTTTTCTTTTTTTGTTCTCATTTTTCACCTATTTATTTTTCTTTTACTCATTTTCTCCTACTCACTTTAGTGGGACTCATTTTTCTTGTATTCATTACTCTTCCATTCTCCTTTTTTGTACTCATTTCTTTTCTTTTTCATGTACTCATTATTCTTGGACTCATTTTACTTCTAAATTATTTTTGTACTCATTTTTCTTGCACAAATTGTTCTTCTATTTTCCTTTTTGGTTCTCATTTATCATCTATTCATTTTTCTTCGATTTATTTTATTGGCTTTTTTCTCCAAAATTATTATATATTATCTATATTTAGCGATAACTCAAACGAAGCAGAATTGTCTACAAGTCAGTCAAGGAATTTGCGAAACAATAACCGATGTGATTTTCTGCGCCAAATAATACTTATAGTATAATGATTTTATTTTATTTTGCTGAACTTAAATCACGGAAAAATTATTACGATCGATAGATAGATAGATAGATAGATAGATAGATAGATATGAACAGACTGAGATAGATAGATAGATAGATATGAACAGACTGAGATAGATAGATAGATAGATATGAACAGACTGAGATAGATAGATAGATAGATAGATAGATAGATAGATAGATATGAACAGACTGAGATAGATAGATAGATATGAACAGACTGAGATAGATAGATAGATATGAACAGACTGAGATAGATAGATAGATATGAACAGACTGAGATAGATAGATAGATATGAACAGACTGAGATAGATAGATAGATATGAACAGACTGAGATAGATAGATAGATATGAACAGACTGAGATAGATAGATAGATATGAACAGACTGAGATAGATAGATAGATATGAAACAGACTGAGATAGATAGATAGAGATGAACAGACTGAGATATGATGATAGATAGGATATGAACAGACTGAGATAGATAGATAGATATGAACAGACTGAGATAGATAGATAGATATGAACAGACTGAGATAGATAGATAGATATGAACAGACTGAGATAGATAGATAGATATGAACAGACTGAGATAGATAGATAGATATGAACAGACTGAGATAGATAGATAGATGTATGAACAGACTGAGATAGATAGATAGATATGAACAGACTGAGATAGATAGATAGATATGAACAGACTGAGATAGATAGATAGATATGAACAGACTGAGATAGATAGATAGATAGAATAGATAACAGACTGAGATAGATAGATAGATATGAACAGACTGAGATAGATAGATAGATATGAACAGACTGAGATAGATAGATAGATATGAACAGACTGAGATAGATAGATAGATATGAACAGACTGGAGATAGATATGACTGAGATAGATAGATAGACTGAGATAGATAGATAGATATGAACAGACTGAGATAGATAGATAGAATATGAACAGACTGAGATAGATAGATAGATATGAACAGACTGAGATAGATAGATAGATAGATAGACAGACTGAGATAGATAGATAGATGAACAGGATGAGATAGATGGATGATAGATAGATAGGAGATAGATAGATAGATGAGATAGATGGATAGATAGATAGATGGATAGACTGAGATAGATAGATAGATAGATAGATAGATAGATGGATGATATGAACAGACTGGGATAGATAGATGGATGGATAGATAGATAGATATGAACAGACTGAGATAGATAGATAGATAGATAGATAGAATGAATGTGAACAGACTGAGATAGATAGATAGATAGATAGATAGATAATGAACAGACTGAGATAGATAGATAGATAGATAGATAGATATGAACAGACTGAGATAGATAGATAGATAGATAGATAGATAGATAGATGAACAGACTGAGATAGATAGATAGATAGATAGATAGATATGAACAGACTGAGATAGATAGATAGATAGATAGATAGATAGATAGATAGATAGATAGATAGATAGATAGATAGATAGATAGATAGATAGATGTGATTACACATATCTGGATTTGCAGGAAATTTATTGGTGGGAATAACAGTTTTGTCTCTAATATTATTTGTAACTTGTAATATATTTTGCTGCATCTTCATTAAGTATACACTTTGTTCGAAAAGGTTTGCATACTAAATTAAGACATTGCAAAATAATTGCTGAATATTTCATAAAGAATTCAGTTTCAATAAGAAGATAAAACAAGAAATTTGTTCAATACGAAAATCCCACATCTTCAATTGACGATAATTCTCTTACTAAACAATAAAGAAATCTTTATTCTAATAAACAGTAAGATGTTATTTTTATTGATTTATTTTGGCATTGGGAAATGAAAATATTGTAAGGCAAAAATAAACGATCTCCTTTCCCGCGATGCCGTCATTGATAAAATTAAAAGGTTAGAACCTGTAAAGGAATATTAATAATAGAAAATCTTTTTCCGAAGACTTTCGAGAATATTTGATGAAGTGGATGAAACACTTCTGGGCAAAGTGAACCGGTATTTTGATCACTCACTCAAGACCACATTTTAGTCGACCGGAATTTTGATTCGTAAGTTAGCGTCACATCACTATCGCTAGAAGTCGTAAGTATAAAACATAAAACTAAAAAAAGTATAAAACTATAGATGTATAAAAAAATAGTGATTTATTTCATAAACTGCAGACCCCTGTCAAAAACTAAAACACTTACCTACTATTCTCACTATTTACATTGTTCGGACTGTTGTCCTCATCTTCATTGCCATATTCACGACGTTTAGACCGTTGTATGCTCAGGCCTTCTTCTATGTCTGTCTATATTTCTGAGATGAGGTATTTAATTATTTACACTATTTACATTGTTCGGACTGTTGTCCTCATCTTTGTTGCCATATTCACGACGTTTAGACCGTTGTACGCTCAGGCCTTCTTCTATATCTCTCTATGTTTCTGAGATGAGGTATTGTAATTATTTACACTATTTACATTGTTCGGACTGTTGTCCTCATCTTTGTTGCCATATTCACGACGTTTAGACCGTTGTACGTTCCGGCCTTCTTCTATATCTGTCTATATTTCTGAGATGAGGTATTGTAATTATTTACACTATTTACATTGTTCGGACTGTTGTCCTCATCTTCATTGTTACATCCAGCAACTTGTTACTCTTGCCTTAATACTAAGTTGGATATTTCCGACAAAGTATAACCGGAAATTGCTGTCGGTAACGATCTCCAGTCAGTTGTTAACAGGGACAGGAAAATGCTTTTAAATTTTACCGATTCCAAAATCAAAATTGTTACCATCATCGAGAATCATTTTGAAGAGCGTGGAACCACTTCTTAATTGCTTTTCGATTCTCACCGATTACTTCTCATATTCGACTTTGCCACTTTTATGTTACGCCTTGACATGGTTCAATGGTGAGCAAGCTTGTCTCGCTAGAACAGTTATGACTGACTAGTGAGTTCAATCTTCACTAAAAACCGATTACTTTCGGCCTCGTGTCAAATCTAAGCTACGCTTGGAAAATCACTATACCCGTGTATAAGTCGAGTTCATGTGTAGTGTGAACCGTGTTTCATTTTTTTTTCTGAATTCATAAAAATAAGAGTATAGTGTGATCGGTCACTCAAAATGTATGATTGTTAACCACTACAAAAAAAGTTAATGTGTATGGTGCGGCACTTTGAATATACGGTCTTTAGCGCTAGGGGACGTCGTCACTGTTCTGAATTGGGTCATTGGGCAGTTTCGGGTCTTTCAAACATCATACTCCCTTCACCAAATCCCCCCGCCCCCGGAAACAGAGCCGATCATACTCTGATGCACTCTCCATCTAAATTAACAGTCTTCACAACACTGACTTATATTAGGTAAACCCTAGCCCTCTGTCAGGCATTTGATTGGAAGTCGACTGACAGCTTACGGTCAAATCACGCTGAAAACACCGGTTCTCGTTCGATCACCGAAGTTAAGCATCGTAGAGCCAGGTCAGTACTTAGATGGGGGGACCGCTTGGGGAGCACCTGGTACTGTAAGCCCCAAAGTCCAACCCTTACCTCACAGTCGGTGGGGGGTGTAAACGGTAGTGTCAGAGCTATGCCGCCCGGAACTTCGTTCCCTGGTAGGGCCACCCAAAGCGGACAGGTCTGAGACACACGCCGGCTAACAAGGGCTCTGGTGAAAATCCAAAGCGTCTGCATCGGTAACCGGCGGCTTCTGGTCGTTCCTGTCTCTGTGTCTGTGGGAACCCCGCGGCAAGCAAGAACGTTATCCGAGTAGGCCTGGGTATCCTACTTCTGTAATTTATCCCAAGAATCTTCTTCTCATAACAGGAAGAACCCGGCTCAATCCACCCAGGGTGAATGCCGCATCAGTACAGTAGTAACAGCCAATCGCAATGATGTGAGTTCTATTTAAGTTGTTTACGGGGGATTTTTTTCACTTTTTCTTTTTTTATGTGGATAGTCGTTGGACTCTCTGAAGGTAATTATGTGTTTTCCGGTTTTTTGGGTTTTTTTTTTTTTACTTTTTTCATCTACCCAGCTAATAGTTACTGTTAGTAAAAAAAAAAAAATAATAAAAATAAAAATAAAAAATAATGCACCCTTAAAATAATTAGAAATTTACATTGTTTTTACGATTAAGATAATAAATTACGACTTAATCAGCGTGTTAAAACAAAAATAAATATAAAAATAAATGTCGTTTAAAACAAGTTGAACGAGCAAACTTACAAAATTCGATTAAATCTGTTGCTTAACGTGGTAAAATTAACGTGTTTGATTAACAAATAAAATTAAAATTTACGATTTTGATCGTTACGCGACAAAAAAATAATTGGAAAGAGACGTGAACAATGTTGGTTAGTAAGTCATTTAACCAAATTTAGTAACAAATGATTATAATTAACATATAGAGTCACATAGTTGGTGACAGAAAAGGAAAAAGAGATAAAATAGAAGTCAAAAGCAATAAAGAACGAAAATGGAGGGGGGACTCTCGAAAAAAAATTTACCCCTTTGAACTTTATGATGTTGTACTTTTATTCTAGATGCTAAAATATCGAAATCACAGTTATGTAATATATCCCTACCAACATTTTAGCAACAAGTAAGAAAAAATAAAATAAAATAATGATAATGAATAAATATAAAATAGATTTATGAATAAAAATGACAATAAGAAAACTAATAATTGCTGACGCGTTTCGTCCAATGTGGACATTATGAAAGCAAAATACGAAAATGAATTTAATTGAACAAGGTAACTATTAGGTTGTCCTAAACGTTCGTAAACACTTGCGAAAAATTGAATTTTTATGCAACGCAATCCAGCACAATCGAGACAAGCGATGGGTTCAGAAATGGCAAGAGACAGCGTCGGTTCCAAAACAAGATCGATTCGGCAAGAAAGTCATGTTGTGCGTTTGATGGAACTTTGAAGGAATCGTGCATTTTGAATTGGTTCCGAATGGTCGTGCCATCAGTGTCGAACTTTACTGTCAGCAAATGGAGCGGGTCTACGAAAAGTTGAAGCAAAAGTACCCGGCTCTGATCAACCGAAAGCGCGCTTTGATGCAGCAGGACAATGCCAAGCCACAATGCCAGCCAGGAAGACCAAAGACAAGTTTGATGAGCTGGACGACGTTGAGGTTCTGCCACATCCAGCCTACAGTCCTGACTGCTCCATCAGATTACGGCTTTTTCCGCTCAATGCAACACTTTCTGAAAGGCCGCTGATTCCACTCGTTTGATGAAGTCGAGGAAGCGTGTCAAGAATTCTTTGATTCGAAGCCGCCTGAACGGTACTTTCACCAGATACGAAAGCTTGCAGATCGATGGCAGAAAGTCTTGGAAAATTATGGTCTTTATTTTGAGGAATAATTTTTGTTGTTTTTGTTATTACTTGGCGAGTAAAATTTCAATTTTTTGCAAGTGTTTACGAACTTTTGGGACAACTTAATAATAAAAACAAAAGCAGAATGTTCCTAGCAACATTATTAGTTACCTTGTTCAATTAAATTCATCTCATATTTTGCTTTGATAAATTCCACATTGGACGAAACGCGTCAGCAATTACCAGTTTTCCTATTGTCATTTTTATTCATAAATATTGTCTTCTCTACTGGTTAAATCGGAGAAATTTTCATAAAATAGATTAGTTAGATAAATAAGTTGAAATTGAGAGATGTAAAAAAAAGCAAAAAAAATACAACTAATTTCCTGACTATACATATTTACACACCAAATACGGCATTTATAATTAGTTATAAGCTGTAACGTATCTTTCTACTATTTACATTAAAATAACATACAATTAAAGATTTATAAAGCTACACTGCGTAAAATCAATTACAAAAAGAAAAAAAAAATCACGTTGTTTCCATCTATCTTGAACTTAGACTTTTTTCCATGATTGTCTTTCTATACACTGGCTCGTTTTAGCCATAACCATTTAGCAGTTTTTGTCTCAGTCTTTTGTCTTTTAGTTTCCACTATCCCAATATCTGTTAGGGCGCTGACTAAGGATTTTGCTACAAAACCCTACTTGTGCCTTCACCCTATTTTGGGCGTAAAAATGATCTTAAACACTTGCGATCTATTCGAGCAGATAAAGAGTCATAAAGTGCGTTCATTATATATAAATTTTATTCTGTCTTATAGGCAAAGAATTTCTGAAAAGTTCTTAGCGTCAGCTAATTTCCAGAATCTGCACATAATTACACCATCAGAGTGTTTTTTTTGTGGCGAACAGGAAAGTGCTTCTTTGTTAGGTATATATTTTTCAAAATGTTCAACGTCTTTGAGATGAAAAAACATCAATAAATAACAGAAGCAAACTAAACAGAAATTAAGATTTCTTTTTCTTCTTTCTTTTTTTGTGGAAGACTGTGCCAGATAATATTGATTTATTTTATTATTTTAAAATTTTTCCAACGCCTTCATACAGACTGGGAAACTCCCGTCTGTTTTTATTTTCTGCTCTCGACACCGGATGCCACAGACAGGAAGTTTCTGGGAAATGCAATTCGTTTTATTTCGGTCTGACAGCAAAATGCCTGTGATCAAAATTCTTTCTTTTTTTTTTACGTCGTTTTGGAAATCGGAAAACGGGTTAAAGGTAATTAAAACTGAAGTCTTTTTTTTTTTTTCCTAAACCTCCACCTGTCGAATGTCCTCCAAAATAATTGTTAACTTGTGTTTCCATAAACCGTGTCGGGTTATTTATGTGGCAAAACATATTTCTCGAGAGTCAATAAACTGAAGAACTATTTTAAGCATTAATGTAAATTCTTGTAGCGGAATGCGTGTCGACGGCTTCGTATCGAAACAGTTTTAATATTTTCTAAAGGAATAAATTTCAAAAGGCGGAAGAATTTTACATATATAATGCTATAGTCATTAAATCAAGAAAAGTTGAAATGATTTATCTAGTTAGCCAACACAAGTGTTTCGCATCAAAACTCTCATCAGGCAGGGCAAAATGTTCGATAAATATGTTGAAGTCATTATCAGAACATAGATTTGTGCTCTTTTGAAACAAAGGAACGCTATTTCTAACTTTCAAATGTCAAATTCTTCATGTAATTTTATTAATTTCTCGTAATTTTCAATAATTTTTACTTTATTATTATTATTATTATTATTATATTTATTTTTCATTTCTGATGTGTAGCCATTTCTTTCCGGGAACAAAAGGGACTCTAAGGTTTGAAATGGCATCATGACGCTCTCCACTGACAAAAAAAATTACATAGACAAAACTCTTCGTAAGGTGTGCGCTGCACTCGTGAAAACAATTTTTTGTATTTCTTTAAGGCATGGACTTCCAGGGATCCCTTCAATTAGTCTACTGGAATCTTTTCCAACCAATTAGACGGTTACAACTATAACATTTTTGAGATTTCGATTTAAAGTTCCTTGTATTTTGATGCCTTTTTAAAGATCTCCAAGATACATTGCAGTCCGCAGGGACAGCCATATCAATAAAGAGGCACCTTTTTATGTGCGATCTCTAATAATTTATTATTATTATTATTATTATCATCATAATTTATTATTTATTATTATTGTTGTTGTTGTTTGTGTGTTATATTTCCTATATTATATCCTGTAGAGCCGGGTTCAAATTATGCTCCTTAGACCCTACAGGAGAATTGACATTTAATTGATAGCCCTTTTCTTAGTATATGTGATATTATAAGTAGGACGACTTTCTGGGCAACTTTTATGTTATTGCTACCTGGGACACTTTTAATAAAATAGTCCATTCCTTTTCTCAGAGCGCCGATTACTATTGGTACAGTCTCGGTCTTTATTTCCTACACCCTGTTAATCTCAATCTCCAGATCCTTGTATTTTGACAATTCCTCGATAATTTTCATGCAAGTGTTTCTCTCAGATGGCACTGTTACGTCAATAAGCATACACTTCCTGAATTTCTTCCCTTTTATGTTAATATCAGGTCTGTTGAATTTATTTTCCTGTCAGTTTGAATTGGCATGTCCCAGAGGATAGTTACATCGTTATTTTGAATAAATTTAACTGGTTGGTGCTCATACCATCTCTCAGTGGTTTCGATTTTGTGCTTCTTGCATATCTTCCAGTGCGCATATGTCGCTATATTGTCATGTTTCCCGGTATATTCTTTTTTTGCCAGTTCCGGACATCCTGAGATAGTTTCATCATATTTTCCGCAGATCCTGCATTTCGGGTTAGTTCCATCCTTGATTATGTGACAGTGATAGGATCTGGTTGCGAGGCTTTGGTCCCGAGCTGCAATAATTAGGCCTTCTGTCCCAGCTTTCAACCCGGTGCTCCTCAGCCACTGATGTGTTTTCTGTTGGTTCACATCTGCTTCTTTCGTTCTTTTTAGGTATTTGCCATGCAACGCCTTGTCATTATTATTATTATCATTATCATTTTCCTTGATTTCTGGCGTTTACACATTTCTTTCCGGGTCCCGCCCAGGGACCTAAGGTTAGAAATGGCGTCATGACACTTTCCACTGACAAAAAAAAAAAAAAAATTACATAGATAAAGCCCTTCGCCAAAGTGTGGACTGTACTTGTCAGAACAAGTTTTTGTATCTCCTTGAGGCATGGACTTCCAGGAATCCCTTCAATTAGTCTACTGCAATCTTTTCTAACCAGTCCTAGGGCTCCAACTACAACAGGGATTGTTGATGTTCCCATATGCCACATTTTTGAGATTTCTATTTCAAGGTCCTTGTACTTTGACAACTTTTTGAATATCTTTAAAGATACATTGCAGTCAGCAGGGACTGCCATATCAATAAGAAGGCATCGTTTTTGTTTGTGGTCTTTAATTACAATATCTGAGCGGTTGGCCTTGATTGTTCTGTCAGTGTGTATTGTGTAGTCCCATAGAATTGTAACAGGTCCTATCTCCGTAACCGGGTCTGGGTGGTGTTTATACTATTTTCTTTCAGTTTCCTTCCCTTATTATTATTATTATTATTATTATTATTATTATATATTTTAAATGAAAATAAATATCAATAAATCAATGAGAAAAGAAAAATGTTTAAAATTAAATTATCATCAAATACACGAGAAAAATGTTGGTATTTGGTTAAAAATATTTCAAAGATAAATAAAGATAATAAAAAATGAATACACAAGAATAAAAGGGGGAGAAATAGCGATACGTTCCCAAATTTTAAATTTAAGAACTCTATAAAATATACTTAAAGCGAATTCTGTGAAAAGAAAAAAATTATTATCATCATCATCATTATTATTATTATTATTATTATTATTATTAGTAGTAGTAGTAGTAGTAGTATTATTTATCTTTTCATTTCGGGTGTATACTCATTTTTCCGGGTCCCAGCAAGAGACATAATGTCAGAAATGGCATCATGACATTTTCCACAGACAGACCATTTTTTTGAGGATGAAAAGATTACACACACTTTACATAGATAAAGCCCTTCAACTTATTTTGTATTTCTTTAAAGCTTGGGCTACCAGGAATCCCTTCAAAGAGTCGATGGAATCCTTTTTCCAATCAATCCAATCAATCCCCATCTACAACTGGAATTGTTGATGACCTCAGGTGCCACATTTTTATAGATTTCCGTTTCAAGGTCCATGTACTTTGATAGTTTTTTTTTTTTTTTTGAAGATCTTCAAACATATATTACAATCTGCAGAGACTGCCATGTCAATAATATATTTCTTTCCCACATTCACTAATTCACCTTCGAATGGGAATTAACCGCTTTTAATCCAAAACACAATATCAACAATCGGCAACTCTTTTAGCCAACCAGAAAATTGTTGACGGTTACGGATAGGACACAGGTTCGATTCCGTTCGAATAACGGAAATTTTCTACGAAATTTCCTGAAAACTGAGAACGATAAATGTAATTAATAGTTTATTTTTTATTTAAAAAAAAAAGCATTTAAATAAATTGCATCTATTAAAAATAACGCCTGAACAGAAAATATATTAAATAATTGTCGGACCTGATCCATATCCTATATATATATATATATATATATATATATATATATATATATATATATATTGTTTGAATAAAACAGACAACTTTAAGGTTCCATGTAATAAGTTATTTCCCACAACCCTTTTAAAGGGCTCTGGACCATCATCCTCCTTGGGTCTACCCATACGGATTACCTAGTTTTGCATAAACTATATATATATATATATATGAAAAGCGATAGAAAGAGAGATAAGGAAATATAGAATGTGAGAGTAAGCAGAATTGAGAAAGAAAGAGAATGTGTTTGGGAAAACAGAGATATGTAGAAAGAGATAGAAAGAAAGAGATATATGGAGGGGGAGAGAGTAGGAGAAAATGACATAGATTAAGAGAGAGAATAGCATAGATACATAGAGAGAAAAAGAAAGATGGCGATATGTGAAGAGATAGTGAGAGAGGATATGAGAAACAATGAGATAATAAAAGAAAGTGAGATAGTGTGAGAAAGAGAGATAAAAAGAGAAAGAGATAGAGAAGAAGAGATATATTTAGAGATAGGGAAAGAGAAGGTAATAGATAGATAGATAGATAGATAGATAGATAGATAGATAGATAGATAGATAGATAGTGAGAGAAAGAGACATGAATAGAGACAGATAGAGAAATGAATGCATAGATAGAAACATATACAGAAACAGGGGAAGGAGGTGTGAGAGAGAGAATAGAATTAAGTGAGATATAGAGAGAGTGCGAGGGGCGAGGATAAAGAATGAAAAAGAGTTATAGAGGAAGGGAGAAATATAGGGAGAGAGAGAAGGTGAGAGAGAGAGAAAAAGTGGGAGGAAGTGAGATAATAGTGGAAGAGAGAGAGGGTAAGAGATCGAAAGGAAGAGACAGGGAGAGATAGGGAGAGACGGAAGGTGATATATATCGGGAGAACAAGTGATGGATATAGAGAGAGCACGAGAGAAATATGTTTTTCTTAGTTTCAAGGCTGATGTTTTTAGAATGACAATTTGTTTTTGCTTTAAGGGAAGACCGAATAAAGGTAGAGATAGATAGATACGAAAAGACTGAGATAGATAGATAGATAGATAGATAGATAGATAGATAGATAGATAGATGCATAGAAAAAGCAGAAGAGTCAAATTTATATAGAGAGAGGATGAGACAAATAAGGAGAGAGTAAGAGAAAGTGAGGTAGAGGCATAAAGTGGGAGAAAGAGAGGGAGATAAACAGAAATATGTGTTTAATTGTGATCTTTGTTAATTATGCTTTAAGGAATGTTCGAATAAAGGGATAGATAGATAGATAGATAGATAGATAGATAGATAGATAGATAGATAGATAGATAGATGAATATGAGCACACTGAGATATAGATAGATAGATAGATAGATAGATAGACAGATGAGATAGATAGATGATAGATAGATAGATAGATAGATAGATATGAGCACATAGATAGATAGAGCACACTGAGATATAGATAGATAGATAGATAGATGAATGTGAGCACACTGAGAGATAGATAGATAGATAGAGATAGATAGATATGATATGAGCACACTGAGATAGATAGATAGATAGATAGATAGATGAATATGAACACACTGATAGATAGATAGATGAATAGATAGATAGATAGATATGAACACACTGATAGATAGATAGATAGATAGATAGATAGATAGATAGATCGATATGAACAGACTGAGATAGTTAAGTGTGATCTGACTGACAGATAAATAGAAAGATAGATAAAGTAGGAGACAGTAAAATAGAGTGAGAAAATAAAAGAAATAGAGATAAAGAGAGAGATATATATAGAGAGAGAGATAGAGACATGGAAAGAGAGAATGTGAAAGAGAACAGGAGGAAATGAGGGAGAGAGAGAGAGAGAATTCACTAGAGTGTGTGAGAGAGAAAATATATTTTGTATTTATTTTAATGCTGATCTTTGTAGAATATCATTTTGTTTTTTGTTTGTTTTCTTTTGTTTTTTTTTTTGTTTTTTTTTTTCCATTTTTTTCTTTTTCAAGGAAAGGTCGATATTACTTACTTTCATCTTGATCTCCTCACAGGAGATTTCAGCCAAATTGTTCCCGCTTCTTTTGTGGCTTCTGTTGCAGATGCTTTGGCAAAATTCAAACTCTGGCAGGTGCAAATGTTTCAACAAACCATGTTTCCCTTGAGCTAGTCTTTCTGTAATTTAACCACCTTTTTTTTCTTTTTTGTTTAAAAAAATTCTTTTTAGCATTGTCGTTTTTTTTTTTTTCTAATGCAACATCATTGTCAGTTCCAAGTGGCTCATTTGCAATTTCTGCTTCTAAAATTCCCAAGAGTTCTTAGCCCTTTGCAATAAAAGGGTCTCGCTTAAATTCCGTCGTCAGCTGTAATAGAAAAAAAATATATGGAAATCGTAGTGTTTACAGCCTGGTTTGAAGATGCGATGTTTGAAGAATTCAAGCTGGACGCAGTCGTTAGCCTGACGATTGCGTCCAGCATAAAATAACCATTCGCTTCTGAGTGCTGACATCAATGTTTACTTTTATATTTATATTTACATACGCTCTATCTCTGGTATTGAGCACTTTATTCCATAAATATAGCACACATTTAAACTATATTTCTTCATACTTATATATATATACATATATATATATATATATATATATATATATATATATATATATGTGTGTGTGTGTGTGTGTGTGTGTGTGTGTGTGTGTGTGTGTGTGTTTTGAACAATGAAAATATTAAAAAATAAAAATCTTCAGACACACTGGGTTGTATATTAGTATTCTTTCGTTTTTATTATTTCAGTTAGATTTCTCGACGAGTTTCGGCCAACATGGCCATCATCAGGAGAGAAAACAATTTTCTGCTTACTGTTAGCAGTGAACTACAGAAATGAACGTCTTGATGGAGAAAATGAACTTTTGTCTGTAGTTTTCATTTGTTTTTTTATTATTTTTTAACATGAATTTTGGTCAGTCTTTGTGTTGATCAAACAGTCTCTTTTAAGTTGTTATTTAAGATAAGAGCTGGATGGATTCATGTTGCTCTGAATTCCCTTGGTCATTTTGACAGTTTTATTGGTTCCTGAAAAGGGGATGTGTCTCTGTTAAGTGTGTGTGTGTTATTTAGTGTTCTTAGGTAGTGAGTGAGTATGATGTGTGTAAGTGTATATATTAATATGGGTGTGTTATCATTTGGTTTATTGGCTCATTAGGGTGTGACTAAGTATGATGTGTGTAAATATGTATATTCGCGTGGGTGTGTCTGTATATTCGTGTGGGTGTTGTATTTAAATATATATATATATATATAATTTTTTTTTTTTTTCATATAGTCAAAAACAATTTACTCACAACAAAGATGCAACTTCGTTTCGGAGCATTTAGTTGCCCCTCAATTTTGGCACCGAAACGATGCAACATTGTCGTGAATAAATTGTTTTTGTCTATATGAAAAAATTATAATGAATAATCATTGATTTACTATCGATATTGAGCCCTCTTTTTAATTAGTGAACGTTAGAATTTATATATTATTCTAGTTCTCATTATATTCGGGTATATATATATATATATATATATATATATATATATAGAATAGAAATTTTATTAAACCTCTGGATTGATAAGACCTAAATTAAGTTTTGCGGGCCGAAACATTTATACTGGATTTCTATAAGGTGTGGGTGTCTGTAATTTATATGCTTCTGTTATAATAAATATATTAAGTTCTTTTTGTGGATCAGTTTTGTTATTTTTATATTATTAGGATATATATGTTCGAAATAAAGTTTCATGATCCTATCAGCTCATCAGGCACAAAATATGTTTGCAGTGAATAATATATATATATATATATATATATATATATATATATATATATATATATATATATTATACTGATCTTTTCAGCTCTCTAATCAGTTTTTTGAGGTTAAGATGAAATTCATCTAAGAAAAATTGGAAGTCACCATAGTTTTTTAAGAAAAGTGTCGGCTAAGAAAATTGTTGTATTGTTTTATTCATTTTATGTCTTTACTCATACATTCTATCTTAAAAACTTCATACAAATATAGTTTTAAGGTGTGTTATATTTATGGAATAAAGTGTTCAATACCAGAGATAGAGCGTATGTACATATATATATATAAAAGTAAACATTAATAAGTCAACACTCAGAGGCAAATGGCTGTTTCATGCTGGACGAAATAGCCAGGCCGACGATTGCAATACACGTAGCATGAAACAGCCTGTCGTGTTTACCAGAGATAGAGCGTTGACATTGAAGTCAACATCAGAGGCAAATGGCTGTTTCATGCTGACGAAATAGTGTTTCAATGTCTTAATATATATATATATATATATATATATATATATAAGAGTTCGATACCACATAATTTGTAAATAGTCTTGAACAAACATTACCGCATTTTTTTCCTTTAAAGGCAACCTTTTCGACCAACACCTCACCAGAAGAATCGTTGGCAACCCAAATATAATATTAAGGAAATACGCAAAATGACAAACCGCCTAGGTGGAAACGAGTAACACCGACTAAAATACGATTTATTATCAAAATGAGAGAGAAAAAAAAAAGATGTGAAGAAAAATGGCAAAACCTAGAATAAATAGTTCCAGTTAGTAAAAAATGAAAAAAAAAACAGGACTGACAAGCCTCCGAGTAAAGAAAAAAAAACGGAGAAATTTACCAAAATATATTCTCCGGTCACCTGGGCAAAGTATTGCTGAGAATTTATTCTTAGGATAGGAACTAAAGCTTTTAGAATTTATACAGCCAATATATTTTTTTATTTATTTTGGCACACGTACACATACACACACACGCATATATATATATATATATATATATATATATATATATATATATATAGTTTACTACGTCTGCTCTACTCATTGTATTGAGCACTTTATTTAGATGTTTTGCGTACTCGCGTCGGGTTTTTTTTTCTTTGCATACTAGACGATTATTTTCGGTTAACGTACGAGAGAGAGAGAGAGAGAGAGAGAGAGAGAAAGTAGATAGATATATAGGTAGATATGTACATATTGATATACCGCTCGTATATATATTGATAGATGTCTTCCCAAAGTTTCGACGTATGAGGATCTGAAAGCTTAGTTTATTCAGTTATTTAATTGTGTGCGATAATCTTAAGTGACATTGAAGACCCGCTAGTGATTTACAAAGGAGGCCACATATGGAGCAAGACTGAGAATTGTGAGATGAGATCGCTGTTAGATTGGCTGACCTTTTAGTTCTTGCTCTCGCTTCTTGAAGTTCATACACACACACATATATATATATATATATATATATATATATATATATATATATATATAAATATATATATATATATATATATATATATATATATATATAATGAGAGAGAGAAAGGAGATAGATAGATGGATATGTGCAGATTGATATACCGCTGTCTAAATCGTGTAACAGAATGTATGATATCTAAAAAAGCATTAAACTAATGGAATATCTTTTTTCCAAGTTTTGCCATCATGACTCCATTTGTCGTGAGAATCAATGAGAAACGATTTGAGTTATTCAGTTAGAAAAAAAGCAGGTTAAAATTGTTTCGTGTCAGGCTCACTGTCTTCCCAGCTGAGCAATGATGAGAGGAAAAGATCATCCAGTCCTTCAGTAATGGTACCAACATTCATAGTCTGGCTTCCTCTTCAAAGTCCATTCAGGAACCATCAAGGGAATGGTCAATATATTTAAAACGGTGGGAACAGAAGAGAGGGAAACTTGATGGGGAGGTAACAACAGCAAAAGGGATCATCAGTTCAACTTAGAGCTAAATGTATTCCTATTGTTAAGAGTGCAATAGTGTTATAAAACTATGGCCTCTAGAGATCATTCAGGCTTTCAGTAATGGTACCAACCTTCGTACTCTGGCTTCCATTTTCAAATTCCTGTCAAGATCCATCAAGAGAATTCTGAATAAGTATAAGAGAGGAAATAGTTGAGATGAAATCTGGATCCAAAGGTCACAAAAGGTAATAGAGACACTTATTTCAACTTAGAGCTAAAGACATCAGTTAGTTCATCTCAATTCATAATACATAATACGTTTGGTACATGAAAGAAGATTTTTACCTGTGACAGTGCAAATAGTAGTAAAAAAAATAAAATCGTACGTGAAACCTTTAAAGCAACTTGTTATTTCCAGCACAGTAAGATAGAAGATTAGGGGAGGCGAATATTATCTTGAATTAGTTGGAAAATGATCCTGGAATATATATATATATATATATATATATATATATATATATATATATATATATATATATATATATAATGAAAGGGACAATGTCCGACAATTTTTAAAGACATTTTTATGTTTAACATTCTTTTTATAGATACAAGTATTTAAGTAAATGCTCTATTTATAATAAGCAGTATTAAATAACATTTACCGGCCTGAATGTCCGAGAAATCTTCATTGATACGCCATGAGCAGTTATGAATGTACGTGAGAGATTCATGGAAAGTTGAAGTTTATAAGCAGTAAATTCGAACTTGCCAACCGATCCTTTGTGGCCGAGAGGTAAGGCACGACAGGCTATATGACGGTTCCGTATAGGATACAGGTTCGAATCCTGTCGAAGCACCAATATTACATACACTCCAGTATATATATATATATATATATATATATATACCGGAGTGTATGTTATTCTTCTGTATTGTGAGGCAGAGTGATCAGCACAGCTGGAGACGAATCTCCAACTGCATGATAACTACCAAACGCCCCACGCGGTCAGATGTGGCACAAGGCCGAATTTAAAATGGGGTATCCGATCAGGCTCAGCAAAAAATTCCCCGTAGACTCTGTAGATATCGTGGTCGAGTAGCTGTTTCCCGGGACCAGATATTGCCCTTCGACATAGTCCCGTTTGGGAATCCTCTCTACCCAGAGGCAGAGAGTTTGATCAGCAGAGCTGGAGACGAATCCCCGACTGCAGACCAACATACAGTATGTACTACTCTGTTTATATCAATGGGGACATACCCATTATCGTATATGTAGGTATGCTACAACATTATCAAATTTCTCCTGTTTTTTAATACCTTGCTTAGCTTCTGGAATACATATTCAGCTATCCTAATACGACCTCTCTTAAAAGGCTTCATAGATATTTAAATTTCCACGCTCTTCTTCTAGTTCATGTTTAGTCCTTTATTCTCCCTTTCTTTCACAACCTTCTCTGTAAGTTTACTTCTCTGTATTACAGGTTCCCATATTGTATTCACCTCTATGCTTGGTCGACTTAGTAGATTTTTCTGCCTTAGCATATGCGCTGACTCCTTACGTTTTCTTATTTTCTAGTGATATTCCCTGTCTATTATTTCAACTTCATCCTACAGAGAGTAATGAATTTCTCTTTTCCCTTCATATATCATACCATATATCGTATATCATATATCAATCATGACTGATTTTTCTATTTCCGCTCGTGTTACGGCTTTACGGTGTTTCTGCAGTCTTATCTTAAGTCTATATTTCTTTTATATTTCTTGCCACCGCTGCAGGGTATATTGTACACACAGTTCTTAATCATTTTCTCCTCTGCGTAATGTTGAACCATTCCACTGTTATATAGACCACAGAGGTTTTGTATCGCTTCCGATAATCCCGTCCCATAGGATAGGCACACCGAGTTTCTTTTATGAGTGCTGTTACCCTCTTGTACCCTTCTATCTATTTGTGGGAGCTACTCTCATATACCCAAGGTAATTGTTACGTTATCGGGTACTACTTATACTAACATTACTTGTTCATATATCTCTGGATGATTTATGACTTTTGCTCAATCTTGTATATAACGAACGATTCCATTTTTTTATATTTTATGGATAGTGGGAGTTGAAGTTGAGGCATTTTCCTGTGTATGTTGGCTTGTAGTATACGGATGTCTCGAACCCATGCTCTGTTCGTGATATTAATACATCCAGGAATGTTTGTTGTTGTTTTCTCTCTCCATTCTGGACCTGATCGATGATCTTATTGAGTTTACATGGTCCAATAATAGCTGGATTTCTTCATTGTGGGACCAGAGTATAAAAGTGTCATCTACATATCTCAACCATAGAGTTGGCTTTAGTGATGTCTAACTATTATAACTAATAATAACAAAACAAAATTTCCTTAGCAACTGGAAGAATTTAGAATGCGCTATTATATTCTTATTGTCAAATGAAAATTACGTCAAATGCTGTCACGTGTGGAAACATTGTTTTCATTGTTGTGTTGAAGAATTCAACTATTTTCTTTTGTTTTCTTGATACAGTTGTGTACGTTTGCTTGGGGGAGTAGTAATTCTGTTAGGAAAATTGAAATACAGAAAAAGCTTGAGCGTAGATTAATATTTGGATAATATTCAATGTCGGCACTCTCTATGACTAGTGCATTAGTTAAGTTGTTTTGTGAGGCCTCTTTTGTTTTGTTATTATTAGTTACTTTGTTTTAATAAATTCATTTTGTTTACCTTGAAAACTTCAACATTAGACGAAACGCGTCGACTAATATTATTGTTTTTTTTCTATTGCCTTTTGCATTTATAAAAATTCTCTTTTTCTACAGGTTAACTCTGAGAAATTTTTCATATATATATATATATATATATATATATATATATATATAAAATTTCGTTTATAGGTGCAGTTTTAATTTATAATTACATTAACCATTCATACAAAAAAAACAAAAAAAAAACAAATATAGACGTTAATGATTTAAATGGCGAGAATACATCTTCGCAAACAATTTCACTAAGATACACCAACCCCGAACCTGTATATGAATGATATGATCCCTGTTTATAAATTCCAGTTGCATAAGGTCTTTTTAATTTTTACAAGCTTTCGTCTGTTTCTACAGACATCCTCACGTATGGAAATAGATTTGTTCTTGTTTTTACTTCTCGGTAATAAGAGGACAACGAAAATAGAGATG